CAGCGCGGCAGGCGCCCGCCTGGAAAGCTCTTCCCTGGTAACTTTGGGTGCCACACGGAAACGCCACGTTCTCTTTGCCAGGGGTGTTTGCAGAGCAGGGTTTTGCGTTGGTTGGTTTGTTTGTTTGTTTGCTTGTTGTCTTTTCTCTCTGGGATGAGCCCGCCCGTTGCTATGTGATGGAGAATTGCTGCCAAATAAAAAGTAGAATGAGTCGCAGCCGCGGGACGTTGAGCTGGTGCCGAAAAGGTTAAATTTTCGTAGTATTTTTTTTTTCCGGGACCATTATAAATGTTCTTGTTTAACAAACCACCACATACACCACCTGCTTTTCTATAGAAAGTGTTACAAAGTAAAGCCCCTTGAATCCAAGCTTAATGAAATAAGCAGATAATCTTTCTAGAGAGAGACTATCAAACTTCCTTAATGAGTAGCTCCACTTTATTACTGAAATATAGGCCTGCAAGCTACCGTTTTGTGTAGTCTACTAACATCCCAGGTATTACTGTATGAACCTTTAAATAGTTTTTAGTCACGTTGTCTTTCTAGTAATTCATTGAGATTTTGTGTTAAATCCTCCTAGGAGAAAGGACCAAAGCCAGAATTCTAACCATTTCAAAAGACCTGACAAAAGTTGCTTCAAGTTGCAGTCTTAAATCATGCGCTGAAATATCCGTACTTAAATGCTGTGTATTAAGTTATAAATAGCTTTATAGCAAAAAATATACTGAATGGATTTAAATTAGAAATGTTACTTTTTATTTAATCAAATAGAAGTATGAAGTTAAATGTGCAGCTTTGAAGAAGGAATCTTCAAAGTGTACTGAACTTAGATATATGGTTGATCACTACAGCTTTGACGGTTTCAACGAAGGTATTACAGCAATTTTTTTCACTTTTTTTTCCTAACATCACAGGTTGACATATGTACCATTTGAAAGTCTTACAGAAACTTAAAATAATATGTTAAGAAAGAAGCTTATGACTATAATTGAAATACAAGACATACATAGAAATGTACATTTGGAGGTAACAGAACATCAGTAATATAACTTCCAATATGTACTATAAAATATTTAAGAGTTAATTTATTAAGCTGTGATTAACTGCTTTCGGAGATGGGGTTACATTTAGCTGAAAATAATTGCGGTGCTACTGGAACTGATGTCTTTTTGTATAGAAGTGTCACCAGAGTATAATGACATGAAGATTTTAGTAAGCCATTACCATAAGGTGAATTAGTCTGATTTTGTGAATGTAGGATTTTGTGTATGCAAAGTGTGAGGTAACTGCAGTGTCTTTTATTTTCTGTATTCCTGGTTGTCCTTTGTTTATAGAATTACTGCTTTATCACCTAAGGGACATATTGTTTTTTCTATCAAACTCAAAAAGACGGTTGCTTTTGCAGTGAAACTCCCGGTAAGGTATAGACTAGTCTTGTCTAAATCAGTTTGGAAAAGTGTTGAAATGTTGGTGTGTATGTTTGTTTTAAGCTCCTTGTAATAACCAGCATATGGGAAATGTTCTCCTTATGACAAAGGAGATGAAGGGAGCATGCATCTTAATGACTGATTAGTAACACTTTAGAGCACTAAGAAAAACAATACACTTTGATTTAAGCAATGGAATTGTTAAGATTAATGTATATCTGCTTATATATGGATGGTACATAGCAATTTAATCATCTATTTACAAGTAAATGCATAGTTGTGGTTGCAGATAATTTTTTTATTAATATGAAGAAAAAATTTAATTTGTACAAAAATCGTATGATTTTTATCACCTTTTTTTTAAAATTTGGACTTTATTCTTTGGTTTTATGTTTGCACTTGCTATATTTAACAAACAGTGGATTTTTTTTTTCTTTTTTAGTAATATTGCTGGACTCTAAAGCACAACAGACAGAGTTGGAATGGATTTCCTCTCCTCCCAATGGGGTAAGTACTCCAGGCAAAAATTAAGTTCCTAAATATGAGTAGTTGTTTTACCAAAGCGATTGAAAGACTTGCTTTAAACTAGCTCCCCCTCATATTTCTCTCAGTGATGGTACCAAGTGTTTACGGCTTTTTCATTGTTAGAATGGAAAGAAGTGTACCTTAGGTTACGGTGTACAAATGCACGAGCTAATTGAAAGGAAGAGTCTCTTTAGAAACTCACTTAAATGTTCTCGGTAGCTTTATGTTTTGTAGTGTAATTCTTTGTGCTGTACCAGAAAGCTCTATATATTTATAACATGGTATTTTAAATCACTTTTTCCTTCTTCCTTTAGAAACAGCAGATTTACTTCTGTGTGGAAACTTTCTAAAAATACATTTTTCATTTTCTGTATAATGGGAGATCATAAATTTGTTTACGATGTTTTCTTTGTAATTGAATAGCGCAGATTGAAGTGCTCTAAAATAAAAACATTTAAACTGCAGATGTGTTTGAAATGACATTCCAAACTTGAAACATCCCCAAGTCTTGAGGAGCTTGATATCTAGAACTAGGAACCAATTATGTTGTTAAGGACATCTCCAGCTTGCTTACAAATTAATCTCATGGTACTCCATGAAATGCACCATTGTAAAGTACATCATTATGAAAAATGAAAAGTTGAGAAACATTGGTGTTATTGTCTTATTTATTATATATGTAAAGTTAAGAAATGCTGCTTTCAGTCTGAATTTAAAGTGGTATAAACCCCCCTCTTCCTCCAGTCTTGGGGAAAAGCATGTTCAGAAACATACAGTGGGTATACTGTCCTACCTTAGCTCGGTCTGACAAATCATAAATTATATGGACAGTTCTTGCTCATGAAAGCAGTCTTGCTGAATCCATTGAATGAACAAGGACTTGGGAGATCAGGCCCTTAATCTTCAGCGCATTAAGAAATCTGGAGCCAGAAGAACGAGAAGTGTGAGTGGGGATATAAAAGTGTAACAAATCCTTTAAATAAGAAGAATGAAAATCTGAAAGTGTCTTTCTTTAAAAGCAAGATCATAAAATCAATACAAGCGTAAACTGGAAACAAATCTGAGGACTTCAGAAAGAATGTAACACGAGCTCGATGCGTGTGATGGCTAATAACCTCAGCATTAGCGTTTTGCACTGATTGAAGCCTTTACCAGAGGTGTGCGAAAGATTAGCTTGGTGGCAATTATGTTAGGCTAACCTGTAGATAATGAAAGACGTGTCAACACGTGTTACACATGTCAGCATACTGAAAGATGAAAGTAGAGTCAAATTCAACAAATAGTGAAAAGACAACTTTCAGAGGTAGAAGCCACTTTCAATCAGGAATTAAAACTAATGGGTGGATTTGTATGCATGAAAATGTTCCGAAATAGTTGTCTGTCAATTAACACAGAAGTACATTTTAGTAATGTAATTTTGAAAATAGATATTTTTCTAGTTTAAATTATTGAATTTTCTACTATGCGATAAAGATTTCATGGGAATAAACATAGAAAATCATCTTTTTGAGATAAACTACTGCAATATCACAGTATGGAATGTATCAGCCAGTTATATGCCTCATTCAGCTGCAAATGATACATCTAACAATGACCTCAAATATTGTTAAGATAACTAACAAGTTAAAATATCATATATTGAAACCAATAGAACAGGACAAATTCAAATGGAATTGCATGTGTAATATCATACGTTGCAGCAGGACAAAGGAAAGTTGAATTTTCGTGCTGTAAAAGCTATCACAAAATTGATCACTTTAAAAGACTTTAATGAAATGTGACTTGAGATGGCATAGGTGAAAACATATTCTAAAGTGCTGATGTATTTTTTTACCCCACAAAGAAACAGGTACACCTCCAATGGACTACTTAAAATAATAGTTCTGTGATTATGTAATTGAATCCTAAGTCATATTTCCTTAGTTTTTTAGGGAAATAATACTCCATGGCTTTGGGAAAATATGGAAAGATACTATTTAATGCTAGAGATAACGTAAAGTAGGACTTCTTTTCCAAATTCAGTGTTTTGTGTTGCTTTCCTTGACTGTAGCATAAGAATCTTTCTGATACTAGCTAGTGTCATGTAGTGGACTTTTGACACCAAGAAGGCTCATTTGTGCTGTATTAAGAAAAATGATTTGATTTTGTTAAAAGTATATTTTTGTGGTTGGTTTGTTTGTTTGTTTGTTTTGCCTTTTTTTTTTTTTTTTTGAGAGGGAGTGGGCATTTGTTTTGATGGAGCAGTCCACATCAAAACCAGAGAAGTCAGATTCTGTTGTGTGGTGCATTAGAATTACTTTCACTTCAAAGATGCGATACATCGTCTAACTGGAATATCTCACTGCAGAATCTGGCTTGGTGTTTTGAGGGAGGACTGCTTACACAAGATAAAAACATAAACCAAGCAAAAACCCCAAGCTAACTCAAAACAAAACAAAAAAACCCTTGACACTACCTGATGTGAAATGGAGAATATAAAAATCAGAAAAATTTTAGGCTTAATGCCTTTTTTTTTGTCATCTTTGTGTTTTGATTTTTTTATTCTGTTTTCTTTTCTTACTTTTTGTTTTTCAGTGTGGCAGAGCCAAAAGCCTCAGTCCAGGGCCCCTTTTTTTCTTTTCCTTGTTTGTACTAGTTCTTACAGAGGCAAAAAAAGCCTTGCTCATTCAGATCTAATAAATCCGTTATGAAGATAGGCTTTCTTCTGTTCTGAGATTAATACAGTTCTATAAGCAGTCAGTTCAGTTAACTCCATGAGCATTTAATAATATATTTCAATCATTTAATACTGTATGCATATATAATACCATACATACCACATCTATATTAACTGTAGGTCTTTGAAATACGCTTTGATATTTACAAGTTCTGTGCGTTTCAGAATCTGCAGCCGTGATACCTTTTGTGGTGATAACTTCCAGCATCAATTCAGCTGCATCTGCTTTTTCTTGGAGCAGTAGACCAACATTAAAATGATCTCATTTACTGTCAAATAGGCTTGCAAAGTACTGTATACTGCATGGCTCCTAATCTGGGAAACCGATGCCTTCCATGCTTGGTTACTTGTGTAAGGAATACCAGTGGGTGCTCCATCCTGCAGAGGTGCTGAGTATGCTGGTCCCACAAAAGCACTTAAGCACATGCTTACCATTAAGCTTATAAGTAGTGTCATTGATCTTAAGCGTGAGCTTAAGTGCATTATTGACACAGGGCCAGAGGGCTAAGTGCCATACGGCGAAGTCATGGTTGCCTGTATCGTCAGGTGGGGATGGCTCAAACACTGCTTCCCCCCCAATTTATCACAGCTGCAGTTTCTGCAGTGAATTAAATGTTACAAGAAACGTGGAAAAAAAGGTGAGAGGCACGTATTATTTTGGTTACACCTGGGCGGATCCGCCTGGTTGACTTCAGTAGAAGGTTTGCCATTGCTGGAGGTGCAAATTCCCACGCCACTGGAGGCTGTTAAAGGCTACAGGGCTGTTAACAGGCTTACCCGTTTGTTACATAGTTGGTATCCTGAAGGGGGAACAACAACAAAAAACAGGCTTTGAACCAGTGAACTTTCAGTCATGTGGATTGTTTTTAATTACGTATGTAATCACATGGTTCATTTCAACTCCCGACTAAATGAAGTTATCTCCTTTTAACATGGATGCAGCCACTGAACAAAATGTGAGGTGAGGAGCTTCCGCTCACCTTCTCTGGTTTGTAGGTAGAACAGAAGGTGGCTTGAACAACCAAACCAAAATGATTTATTGCTCTCAGGTTTTTAATTCTGTTTTCTCTTGGTGCCTCTCTCTAGCCCCCTTTCATCATGTAGGAATGAAAATCGTCTGACTCGCAAATTTCAGGACCCAGTCCCGTGCTTTCTGTACAACCGAAAGTTCCACTGGAAGCTTTATATACACAAGTTTTATGTACTGTAACGCTAGGCAATTTTAGTTTCTAAGACTTCACTGATTTTAGGTTTCTCTGAAAGCGAAGCTGCCTCCCTCCTTTTTTGGTCTTTGCTTACCCAGAACTGTCATGACCTTACTGAAATGTGAGAGAGCCCAGTGTGTAATCAGAACTTGTTACGCTGAATAGCCTTCTCTGAAGCTTCCTCTTTACAACTGTGCCCATGATATGACAATGATTTTTAGAAGTTATTTATATGTGGGAAAGACATGGCGGGGGGGGAGAGAGAGAGCCTGCAGCTGCATTGACATGTATTTTCTTCATTTGGGTGCTTAAGTGTATTTAACAAAAACCTACCTTTTATGAAGGAATACTGTTAAAAAGGAGGGAGACTAGCGTTGTGAAGCCTTTTAAAATACACAGTAGTTACATCTGGTGACATACTTGTTTTGTATTGCTAACTGTTTGTTATTGTTTTAGTGGGAAGAAATTAGTGGACTGGACGAAAACTACACTCCTATACGAACATACCAGGTATGCCAGGTGATGGAATCAAACCAAAACAACTGGCTTCGGACTAACTGGATTGCAAAAAGCAATGCACAAAGGATTTTTGTAGAACTGAAATTCACTCTGAGGGATTGTAACAGTCTTCCTGGAGTTCTGGGGACTTGTAAAGAAACTTTTAACTTGTATTATTATGAAACAGACTACGACACTGGCAGGAATATCCGAGAAAACCAATATGTAAAAATAGACACTATTGCAGCAGATGAAAGTTTTACCCAGGGTGATCTCGGGGAGAGAAAAATGAAACTTAACACAGAGGTGAGAGAAATTGGACCTTTGTCCAAAAAAGGATTCTATCTTGCGTTTCAGGATGTAGGGGCCTGCATTGCTTTGGTCTCTGTCAAAGTCTACTACAAGAAGTGCTGGTCCATCATTGAGAACTTAGCTATTTTTCCTGACACAGTGACTGGCTCAGAGTTTTCCTCTTTAGTTGAAGTACGAGGAACTTGCGTCAGCAGTGCAGAGGAGGAGGCGGAGAACTCGCCGAAGATGCACTGTAGCGCGGAAGGAGAATGGTTAGTGCCTATTGGAAAATGTATCTGCAAAGCGGGATACCAACAAAAAGGAGACACGTGTGAACGTAAGTAAGCGTACAACTTGCTGTAGTATGTACATTATAGGTCATGCTCTACCAGCTTATTTTTATTATTTTTTTGCAAGAGGAACACGTCATCAGTCTGCTTTTGAAGTTTTTGGATCCTCAATCTGTAAACTCCACGCTGGCTAATCCAAAGCAGGCAGCTCTTCTGGATATGAAAATCAGCAGTTGCGTACTGCATTTTTAAGTTTAAACAAGTTAAAGTTGTACGAAGTATGAATATAGATTCAGGACTAACATTTTAAACAGATTAAGATTATGTTCCTTGTACCTCTTGGTAATGCTGAGCAAGTCATACCTATCATGGAACACTGTATCAGTAATCTTCATATGTAAGTAGTAAAACAATTTGTTCTTTGACATGATCTGACAGAATTATAAGGAAACTAAAGCTGAGGAGCTAAACTTAAAATGAGGTGTGGTTAGTGATGGGAAGAATAAACACACAATAAAAACTGAGGTAGAAGTTTGTGTCGTAAGTGCGTACAAATTAAAACACAAGAGTATCACTTTAGATCTTTTAAACAGAATATCAGGTTTCCAGAATAAAGTATGTTTTCCTTTCTGCAATATCTTTTTGCATAAAACCAACTCTGAACTTCTAGCTTGCTTTAGGATCATGATGAGTAGTTTAAAATACTAGCAAATCAGAGACTACTGAGTTATACTTTCCAATTCAGACTGATTCAGTTATTTGTATTTTCGGAATAATACTTACCCTTAGCATTGCTGTCACTGGGGCTGTGTGCATAAGACACTTCTGCTTAGTGTGAGAAAGGATATTGCATTGTCTTTGCTTACAGTAAAATCGAGAGAACAGGCAGTTGCTTTTAAGACAGGTATTTTCATGCACATTTAACACAAGGTCTATAATTTTTATCATAAGACAAGGAGTTATATGTCACTGTATTTTTATTGTGAGATAGGCATTTGTTCGTGAGAATTATTGTAAGTCAAAAACTGGAAAAAAAACCCCACAAGTTTGTGAAGAGGAGAAACCTACAGAATCTCAAAAACAAAGCTAGCAGCAGTCACTGAGTCTGACATGTCTGTGAGAGGACTTCAAAATCTGAAAACGGTTAGCAGCACCCTAAAAAAAAAAAAAGAATGTATGTCATTATTAATAATTTGCTCTCTGGTAAAAACACAATTCTGTTCTTGCTGAGTTTTTACTAGGAAATTTGGTACAAGGTGAAGTGAATGAAGTTGATCTGAGGCTTTTGTAGCCTTGCACAAATCTTTCATTGTTCTGTTGGGAGGAGATGAGGGTTTATGCACTGTGGAGGGTGATCTCATTAGGAGTAATCATAATGTGAAAAACTGCCCTCTCGAAACCATTCAGTAGACTGTATTAAAGCTCTGTTAAAAATATTAAGAACTGTGTCCCATAGAAGCCTGTTTTGAGGTTTTCAAATGTTTTTTTTTTTGAGTGACTGATTTTTTTTCCTTCTCTTACGTAATTTGCTCTTGATTACAGACCTAGTCATGGTTGATGTAATTAATATACTAATTCTATTTGACTTTAATGAAAGGAGAGAAAGCATCCAAAAAGGAAAGCAGTGTATGTTGGGAAGTGAGTGAGTGTGGGGGGGATGGATAGAGAAGAAACTGGTGTTTGGTGACTGGAATTCAAGTAACCTGTTTATTAAACAGGCATCTTAATTTCTAACCGTGCTGATGTTGACAAAAGAATTAAATAATAACTCGCACTCGAGTATAGTAGCGTGCTCATTTGCAGGAACACTTCCCGCTTTTGGCTTGCTTCCAAAGCAATCGCTAAGAGAATACGCTACTCTGGAAACGGTCCAGAGGATCATTTATGGTATTTTTTTTTTTCCTCTTTTCTTTCAGTGATCCTGTTAAGAGTTTCAAAACAAACTCTGGCTCCATATTGAGGCAAGTTAATGTATTTGAGAGGGAAAAGGCGGGAGGCAGGCGCTCGCCAAAGGCGTGCCGTTGGCAGTGCGGAGTCGGAACGGTCTGTGCGACTGTGGTGCACAATAGCAGTTGCCGCCTGTGATGCTTGTTAGCCGTGCCTGCGCTCGAGGACGTTATGAAGTATGATCAGCTCGGTAGTGACCGATAATACGGCTGGCACGCTGATACCGTGGCTGTTTTTTGTGACAGATATTGAGAGAAACTTATCTGAACGTTGACACTAATGCAACTGGCTATCTGTTGCTGTCAAGCTGTGTAACAGATCAAGCAGAAGCAAGGTGGCCTGTGGTTCCTTAACCCAGAGCTTTTATAGCCCTGTCTGAGGGCTCGCTTCCGCAAATACTTTGTATCTGGCACGCTGGGGGACTTCTTTGGGACTACTCGTGGCAGAAAGCATTGTGCTCTGTCGGGATGGGCAGAAATCTGTGATTCCTCTCTCACGCATGCTATCGCTCAGCTGAATTAACTCAACACAATAGGAAGGTCTTTTAAAGATACAGAATAATGCCTTATCTGGCTGCGTTGTAGCAGAGGTAGGAGTAGATGGCCACATTGTAGCTCCAAATAGCTCTTCAGCCTGTAACTCAGTGGGGATTTTCATTTGTGTTACGCGGGCTCGATTGGCCGGCTGTGATGGAGGAGTGCGTTCCTTTTGCATACAACTTCCTCCTCCTGTATGTGAAATTTATTGAGTTCAGATATTAAAAACAATTGAATTTTGATTTATACACAACTCTGCACTGGATGTGTTGCCAGAAGACTTTTTTTGTTGCATGAATGTAAGTAACTGGTAATGCTGGCAAGGACAAGGAAGAAAACAATTGTGGGCAGTAAAACACGTAACCTGGAAACTGAGCTCCCACGTGGTCCCTCTTCAGTGCTCGTTCTTCCAAGCTGAATTCATCTTTCTTTCAGATGTATACTGTTTACTTCTTACTATAGGTGTGCCAGGATTCCATGCCTCCTCAGTGATCGGACTCAGTGATAACACACATGCGTAAGAGGGCCAAATTCCAGAGAGTTCGCAATTGTCAATTAAAGCAAGATCTTAAAGTTGGATGAAACAAACATGAGAAGACTAGATAAGCCTCTGAACTTTGAATTGCAGATTCTTTTGCTTATATGCAAGGACACTGTCTCCTCAGTGTTGATCATATGTCTGCTAGTGGGTGTGCACTAGATTTAGGTGTGGAAGTTGTACATGTCAAAGGATTGTCTTGAAAGGTACCTACCAAAGGTACCAGAAAGATACTTAGAAATATTCAGTTCTTCCAACATCATATATTGCATTTGTTCTGGAAAAAAAAAACAAACACAAAAAGACCCCACAAAACCCAATAAAATTCTCATCAACTATAGTGGACTCCCAATAGGTCTAACTTTGATTTTTTTCTCACAATGGAGTCCAGTCAATATGTTGCACATGTGAGGACCACACTGTGATCAGTGATTGGTATTTGAAGGACAAAATAGTTCTTTGAGAACTTCTACTGTGGGTTTTTTTTTCCATCTGTTTCATGTTAGTTGAGGATGGGGAGAGAGAGAGAATTAAACTTATTAAAACAGAGCAGTAGAGTGCTATTTCAGAAGGTAGGAAGCATCTCTTAATACGACTGAACTGAGAAACTACATAGATGGTTGAGCGCAAAGTCCAAAAATTCAGATTTCTAGGAAAGCAAAATGGATCCATTTTACTATTAAACCTTTCATAATAACATATGCATTAACAGTTGTTTTATTGGCCCCAAAATGGGGAGGAGATTATAGCTATTTGTACATTTTGTCTTGGTGAGGTAAAAAGGGAGCTACAGGCTTTTCTTTCCCAACTTTGTCATGTGCTGTACACTGTGCCAGACTGCAAGCTGCATCTGTTCCTTCTTTTTTTTTTTTTCTTCTTGGGACAAACTTTATTTCTTGACTTTATGAAATATTACTTGATAACAGATCCAGAAATCGAATTTGCCTTATGCTTGGTGTATTTGTGATAAAGTATGTGTGGTTGTGTTTTTTTGTTCCATTGTTTTTTGGTTTTAATATTGCTCCACCTAGGAGCTGATGTGCCACAGGTTTATTAGTAGAGGACAATGAATTAAGGGAGGAATGTGAATAAGTTGTGATTAAAAAAATATCACCGTGCTTCTAAAAAGCCCAAGTTGCACATATTGTGAACTGAGTGTAGAGTTTAGCTCAAGTAGCGTGTCCCAAAAGTTGCGGGTGACCTGCAGCTTTAGTAACCTATGTTGACATTCCTGCATTTTCAACTTGAAAATTTTTTGCTTTATGGAGGAGAAATGGTAGAAAACTTTTTCAATGGCATTTATATCATCAAGAGTTTAAACATTTCGTTTTTTGAAGAAGAGTTACCTTTCTTCCATTTGCCTCCAAAATTACTCTAGGGAAGAGAATGTAATTATTCTCAGCAAATTGAATCAGAGGAGAATGAGGCTATCTCTGAGTCTTGTCATTTTCTCTGAAGCCAGCAGAAGTTCAACAGCAAAGTTTCTACCTCCTTCTCTTTTTATCCCCTAACATATTAAATAGTTTTTCTGTCCCCTTTTAAAGAAAGGTCAACGTGATCTGATATCAGGTCCCAGAGACAGCTACACAGGAACTATTTGATTTAAAAACAAATAAAAATAATCATGTAAATATCTTTCCAAAGGATCCTAGCAGGGTTTAAAAAAATATACCAGATGCTTTTAAGGTAAAAGTAAGACTTTCTAGCAAGGTGGTCAAGAATACTGAAGGTGTTTCTACTATGAAAGGCAGAGCTGTGATTTCTGCTTCCAGCCCTCTTTAGAGTTTCTGGAAAGTTGAATATCTTGGCTTTCTTTCACCCTGGAGTCTTCTGACTGCCCTTGTCAGAGAGATGTGCTAGAAAGATATATTTTCTTGTGATATCTTTCTTTCAGAACAGCCTACCTTTCATAAAGAGGATAATTTTCACAATTTTGTCAGTCTCCCTAAGTAATTGAGGTTTCTTTGACCTACTTTGTTCATGTCCTTCAGCTTTTTGGATGTGTCAACACAGAGAAGGAGAGAGGAGCTATGT